AGGGGACATTCAGAGGTGCCCCTTCCTGCTCTGCTGAACAGAAATATTCCCCGCTGTTAACCACGCGGTGGGGGGGAGGGGTGAAGTGACCATCCCAGAGAATTGGGTGTGTGGGGGAGGGGAGTTAGTTGGGTTTGTGCTGCATGTTAAACCTGAAATCGCAGCCCCTCCTTTTACATTGCAAACCCATTTTAAATGGCCAACCAAACGGGTGCTTGGTATGGGAAATGAGGGCAGTACTGTTTGAAACCATCCCCACATGTTAAGAAGGTTAAAAAAGCCCAAAGACTGTATGTCTTACCATGGCTGCCTGCAAGCTGAAATCTGTGTCCTGGCACTGCGTGAGTGATCTCTCACACCAAACCAGGAGACTCTCAATATAAGAGGAAAAATGCGACCTTGTAACGAAAGCACATGTGCTGTGTGATGTTGTGAACAGCAAAATCTAACGTGAAAGAGTCTACCCATTGTTCTCTAAAATGTATCTTTTTTAACAACCTCTCCCTTCTCCACCAGCTGCAAATCTTACTCCTTCGCAGAGGCTAGTGAATATTCGAAGAAGGAAGCGAAGGACGCGTGACGAAATGTTTACTGAACTTCAGACTGCCTCCCACGCTGACAGAGCACAGCTGAATGCGTGGAGGCAGTCAATGACTGATTTTAAAAAAGCCCAATATGAGCGAGAGGAGAGGTGGCGTGCTGAATCGCGGGCTGAAGAGGAGAAGTTGCGTGCTGAAACGCGGGCTGAAGAGGAGAGGTGGCGTCAACTTGTACTCAGAAAGCAAGAGTCGATGCTCCGGCTGCTGGAGCATCAAAGTGATATGCTCCTGCGTATGGTTGAGCTGCAGGAAAGGCAGCAGGAGCAGAGACCGCCGCTACAGCCCCTCTGTAACCAACAGCCCTCCTCCCCAAGTCCCATTGCCTCCTCACCCAGACGCCCAAGAACACGGTGGGGGGGCCTCCGGCCACCCAATCACTCCAGCCTAGATGATTTCCAGTGCAATAAGTTTTAAAGTTTTAAAGTGCACTGTGTCTTTTTCTTTCCCTCCTCCCCCACCCATCCAGGCCTACCTTTGCAATTATCCCCCTAGTTGTGTGCTGAATTAATAAAGAATGCATGAATGTGAAGTAACAATGACTTTATTGCCTCTGCAAGTGGTGCTCGAAGGGGGGAGGGTAGTAGGGGAGGGTGGGGTGGTTGGTTTGCAGGGAAGTAGAGTTAACCGGGTGGGGGAGGAGGGGCGGAGGGTTCACCAAGGAGAAACAAACAGAAGTTTCACTCCGTAGCCTGGCCAGTCACAAAACTGGTTTTCAACGCTTCTTTGATGCGCACCGCGCCCTGCTGTGCTCCTCTAACCGCCCTGGTGTCTGGCTGCGCGTAATCAGCGGCCAGGCGATTTGCCTCAACCTCCCACCCCGCCATAAATGTCTCCCCCTTACTTTCACAGATATTGTGGAGCGCACAGCAAGCAGCAATAACAATGGGGATATTCTTTTCGCTAAGGTCTGAGCGAGTCAGTAAGCTGCGCCAGCGCGCTTTTAAACGCCCAAATACACATTCCACCACCATTCGGCACTTGCTCAGCCTGTAGTTGAACAGGTCCTGACTACTGTCCAGGCTGCCTGTGTACGGCTTCATGAGCCATGGCATTAAGGGGTAGGCTGGGTCCCCAAGGATAACGATAGGCATTTCAACATCCCCAATGGTTATTTTCTGGTCCGGGAAGAAAGTCCCTTCCTCCAGCTTTCGAAACAGAAGAGACTGCCTGAAGACGCGAGCATCATGTACCCTTCCCGGCCAGCCCACGTTGATGTCGGTGAAACGTCCCTTGTGATCCACCAGGGCTTGCAGCAGCATTGAAAAGTACCCCTTGCGGTTTATGTAGTCGGTGGCTTGGTGCTCCGGTGCCAAGATAGGGATATGGGTTCCGTCTATCGCCCCACCACAGTTTGGGAATCCCATTGCAGCAAAGCCATCCACTATGGTCTGCACGTTTCCCAGAGTCACTACCCTTGATATCACCAGGTCTCTCATTGCCCTGGCAACTTGGATCACAGCAGCCCCCACAGTAGATTTGCCCACTCCAAATTGATTCCCGACTGACCGGTAGCTGTCTGGCGTTGCAAGCTTCCACAGGGCTATCGCCACTCGCTTCTCCACTGTGAGGGCTGCTCTCATCCTGGTATTCTGGCGCTTCAGGGCAGGGGAAAGCAAGTCACAAAGTTCCATGAAAGTGCCCTTACGCATGCGAAAGTTTCGCAGCCACTGGGCATCGTCCCAGACCTGCAACACGATGCGGTCCCACCAGTCTGTGCTTGTTTCCCGGGCCCAGAATCAGCGGTCCACGGCATGAACCTGCCCCAGTAACACCATGATTTCCACATTGCTGGGGCCTGTGCCTTGTGAGAGGTCCATGTCAATTTCCTCATCACTATCGTCGCCACGCTGCAATCGCCTCCTCCTCAGCTGGTCCTGGTTTTGCTTTGGCATGTCCAGGAGGCTCTGCATATACTCCAGGACAATGCGCGTGGTGTTCATAGTGCTCATAATTGCCGCGGTGATCTGAGCGGGCTCCATGATCCCAGTGCTGGCTATGGCGTCTGGTCTGAAAAAAGGCGCGAAAGTCGTATCTGACGGACCAGGGGAAGAAGGGAGGGAGGGAGAGAGGGAGGGAGGGAGGGGCGAGTGACGACATGGCGTACAGGTACAGGGAATTAAAATCAAGAAAGGTGGCTTTGCATCAGGGAGAAACACAAATAACTGTCACACAGAATGCCCCCCCCCCAAAGATTGAACTCAAAAGCCTGGGTTTAGCAGGAGGGAGGGGGGAAGCAAATGAATGAAGAATAAATCTATTTTTTACATCTTAAGACGACGGTGCAGCATGACTGATAGCCCTTGGCATTTTCTGGGTGCTTGGCAGCAAATACTGGGCGCTTGGCAGTAAGCCTTCAGGTCTATTGCACGATCTGATACCCACTGCAATATGACAATGATGGATACCAATCGTAATATGCTATCTACTGCCCAAAAGGCAAGGGGTTGCTGCTGTGTAGCAATCTAACCCCACGTCTGCCAGCCCCATGTCTGCCAGCACCCAGATCGCCATCGGCCTCTTCTGGGTGCTTAGCAGACAATACTGGGCACTTGGCAGAAAATAGCATGCTACGACTCTGCTAACGTGCAATGATCCAACAGGGCGCATGGCAGAAAATAGCATACTACGACTGATAACCATCATTGTCTGCCCGGGTGCCCATGATCGACAGCCACTGCAGTACGACGACAACGGATACCAGTCGTAATAAACCATCTTCTACCAAAAGGCAAGGGGCTGGTGCAATGCAGCCCCACGGCTGCCAGCACCCAGATCGCCAATGAAGGCTACCAGTCATGCTGCACCGTCTACCGCCAAAAGGCAGTAAGCTGCTGCTGCTGTTTAGCAATGCAGTCCCGCGTTTGCCGGCACCCGGAAGACATATGGTGACGGTGAGCTGAGCTGAGCGGGCTCAATGCTTGGCGTGGTATGTTGTCTGCACAGGTAACCCAGGTAAAAAGGCGCCAATCTATTGTCTGCCGTTGCTGTGACGGAGGGGGAGGGGCCTGACGCAATGTACCCAGAACCCCTCGCGACACTGCTTTGCATCATTCGGGCATTGCGATCTCAACCCATAATTCCAATGGGCGCCGGAGACTCCGGGAACTGTGGGATAGGTACCATAGTGCAATGCGCCGGAAGTCGACGCTAGCCTCGGTACTGTGGACGCGATCCGCCGACTTCATGCACTTAGAGCATTTTATGTGGGGACACACACAATCGGCTGCATACAACCGGTTTCTATAAAACCGGCTTCTATAAATCCGACCTAATTTTGTAGTGTAGACATACCCTAAGTCTAATGCGCACTCGAGTATTAATACCAACCCCCTACCAAAGAGTGAGAAAGGTATTTTCAAAAGCCGTACGTGAATGTGGGTTTCAAGTGTGTAGGTTAAGCTAGTTGATTGGCTCTGCTGTCATCTGCTGCTGTTTGTTTATACAATTACTGTACATCAAAAGTGGAAGCAAAATACTTACTGTAAAGGGAAGAAGGATCAAATCCAGCACCAGTTTAAAGGGCAATCCTACATTCAGATCCAAATTGTTAGTACCCAAAAGACTGTCATCTCTTATCCCTCTACACCTTAATTTTGAATGGCCTTTTTAAGATGTCCTGCACTTCAGCTTCCTATGTTTGCTATTGATTTTTGTTTTTTCTTTCTAATTCCTTTTTCTTTAGCAGGATTCTTACTTCTGTTGCACGCACCAATAAACAGAATATGTAAGGTATCTGGGTTGCTGCATCCCTGGACTTTAGAGCAAAAATGGCTATGTATGTGGTCCTGAACAATCCATCAGATGGAAGCATAGTAGAAACTCAGAGGCTGGGCTGTGTTATAAAGTTCAGATCCAGAGCTGGATTTATGTTATCCCAAAATGTAGGGATGTTCAGATCTGGGACTATCTCTACGTCAGCATTATAAAAATAATTGGAAAGGAAAATCAGTTACATGCCCTGCATACTCCACTTCAAAGTACATAAATGCTATATTTTCACTCTACTATTCTTAGACTTGTCTGTCCCTGTGCTTTTGCTTTCCAGTCATCTATATAAGAGCTTGCTAAGATCTGACTTATGATTTATTAGGGCAAGGATCAGTTTGGAGTTCAGGAGAAGTGTGATGCAATATCTAAACAATACTGAGATGTGGTGTTATCTATTATTCATATGGCAGCAATGCCTACAGGCCAGGGCCCTGCTGTGCTAAGGACTGTACAAACACATAACAAAGACAGTCCCATATAAATTGAAGAGGAGATAACTGGTGGATGCAGCAAACACATGGGGTGGGGTGGGGGGGGGGAGCACAAGGAAATGATGAGAGACTGAAATTGAGGCATTTACAAAGCTGTCGAATACATTCACAGAAGGATCCTCCTCTCTTTCCATTACTATAGGTCGTTATCCACAGCAAAACAAAGGCACTTACATCCCAATCCCTTTGGTTGAAGAACTGCAAAGCGGGACATGGGGAGCCAAGATTACCTGGAAGGAGGACAGTTCCGTTAGACTGTCCATCATGTCTGCTCCGACCTGCATTGTGGGGAAATTCCGCCTCTATGTCGCTGTCCTGACTCCCTATGGCATCCTCCGGACGAAGAGAAACCCAGAGACTGACACCTACATACTCTTTAATCCCTGGTGCCCAGGTGAGGGGTGTGCAATATTCAGATGTTCATACTTCTGCGGCAAGGCCCATCTGTTTCCCCAGGCTTTTGGGAAGGCAGGGGTGTGATAAAGTTTGTGATGTGGGGGGGGGGCGTTATTGTCTGGGCTTGCCTTCTTATTTTTTTAACTTGTGGTTGGTTATTTTCTAGTTTGAGTGATTAGTAGCTGGTGGCTTTACTTTAACTTTTGTTAAAGGTACCTAGAAGCCTGGATAGCTGCTTGATTGCTCTCTCTGTGTGTCTGATTCAAGGCCCACTGAGATCAATGAGTCTTTCCACTGATTTCAGTGGGCATTGGTTCAGGGTGCAAAGAACTAAATGTTTAAAACCAGTGTTCCATTTGTGCATATAAAAATCAGAATTTGTGCTCACCTATGCATTTTACAAAGTCAATTCTATGTTCAAGGCATTTTTGAAGTGAGTACAAATAAGTTGCAAGTTCCGATCAGCACCTTTTCAAAACAGTTTAGGAGCACTATGCCTCAATGTGATAAAACTTGAAATATAGACAGATCCAGAATCTAGAATGGCTTCAAACTTTTGGTATATCTAATGCTTTAATGCAGTCCTGGAACTCTTCCTTCTTGGTAGATATAATCTCTTTCCCATAATATTTATATAAGTTTCTTTAGTCTCAAATAGGGAGCATCGTACTTTGTGATAAATGTTTGGCATTATTAATAGAGTACTCTGCAGCACTTTGTTTTGTACATGGAGTGATTTGGCCCAAGTTGATTACCTGCCTCTGGTCCAAGAGAACATAGGCAATGATTAGTTTATGTATTGTTTAGGAAGATGCATGATTAATCCTGAGTAAAGTGACATTAGTTAAGTGGAATTAGGACTAAAAAGGAGGGAAGAGAAGGAGGTGGACCAGTGGCGAATTTAGAGATAGTGGAGCCCTGTGCTCAGCTTCATTTTTGCCCCCCCCCCCAAACGGGGGGAGCATTCTCTCTTATCTGCCCCCCCACACCCGTTTTTTTTTTCTGCATTCTCCTCCTGGGGGTGCAGGGTCTGGGAGGGAGTTAGGATGTGGGAGTGGGCTGGGGTTGCAGGGTCTGGGTGGGAGT